AGTAATTTGCTTGACATTTCCAGCAAGGCGAAGATGCAATAACAAAACAAACTTCTTACAAGAGAAGAGAGACACAGAGCTCTGGAGTTTCTGTTGGAACAGACTCTTCTGTTTTGGTTATGTACAATTAAGTTCATTTAGTGTCTGATCCAGTGTCTGATGTAAGCCCACGTTCTCTTCTTTGGCCTGGGCAAGTTTTTCTTCCAGGTCATCAATTGTCTTTTCCAGTTTGGCAACCGTTCTCTCTGCAAATTCGGCATGGATGTCAGCCTCTTTCAGTTTGTCAGAAAGAAGTTTAATTTCTTCTTCCTATTTGTCGTCCTTTTCAGAATACTTTTCAGATGCAGCCTCGAGCAATTTATTAGTGACATTCTTGAGTTCTTCCAGGTCACCATATTTTAGTTCAGACACCTCCTCACGCTCTTCTGCCCTTTCCAGCTCTCTTTCCACGATGACCAACTTACCAGCTACTTTCTCATATTTGCGGTTGGCCTCCTCAGCATTGTGCGTGGCCTCTCTGAGCTGCATCTCCTGAATCTCCATCTTCTCCTCATCTTTCATAGCCTAGTTTTCTATCACTTCATTCCTCTCTTGCTCTCATCCGCTGCCTTTTCTGCCTCCTCCAGCTTCTGCAGGGCTGTGGCCAGCTATTCTTGAGCCCTGTCCAACTCCTCCTCAACCAGCTGGATGCGTCGATTGAGAGCTGCTGCATCACCTTCAGCTTTCTCACGCCAGCTCCCGCTGCAGGCCTTTCACGCAGTCCTCTGCCTTGTCCGCTCGCTGCTGCAGGGCCAGGATCTTGCGTTTCACCGCCTCCAGGGAGTTGAGGCCAGCCATGGCGCGGAGATGCTGAGGCGCACGCAGCTAGGCTCGGCTGGGTTTTGGGGAGAGCTGCGGCAGATGCACCCCCCCCCACCCCTCAGTCTTTCCCCTGCCAGTTAAATGGTCTTAAAGACTATTACTTTGTTCTAAAGAATTACCAAGGCATGGGACCAGCAGTTAGCGTAATGGCTATGTCACTGGACTCCTATGTAGTCGACCACGGTTCACGTCCTGGACCTGGTGGCTTAAAACTCACACTGGGCACGTGTGCATGCATGCGTGTCCAAGATCCCAAGAGGAGAATGGAGAAGAAGGGATTGCAGTGTGGTCATCGCCCCTAGGGGGTGATTTCTCGCTTTCTGTCTGTCTCTCTCTGGTGAGCAAATGCGCCCTATAGTAAAAAACAAACAAATAAAAACCTCTCAAAAAAAAAAAAAAAAAAAAAAAACAATTAACCAAGACATGAGGTTGCCAAATGACATTTATTTTCTTTCTAATGAGAGTACTGATCATTAATGAGAGAGTGAGACAGTTTTAAGTTTTGTTGGTTGAAAACTTTCATCAAATATTAAGTATCATTTGACAAATCATACATGTATTATCAACAACTTAGGAGAATTAGGAAGAGACAGAGAGAGAGGGGAAAGTGAGAAAGCCAGCTGCCAGGCCCAGACTCGAACTGTGGTTGGCCATGTGAGGGTCCAGCACCTTAGCCATTACACCACTTGCTGCCCTAAAATCTTACCTTTCAATTGAAACGTTATCCTATTACAATTTTTTCCCTTTGGGTTTTTATTCTATCATTGCATAGTGGTATTAAAAATAGCTCCTTTGTTAAATAAAGATAAAATAGTAACAAAGTGGGCCCCTGGTGGTGTGGTGGTTTAAGGTAGCTGGATCCCACATGACTAACTGCATGGTTCAAGTCCTGTACCTGGTGGGTTGACAACTATGCACATGCGCATGCATGCCCAGAATCCTGAGAAGAGAATGGAGGAGAAAGAATTGGGGTGTGGCCATGTCTTCTGAAGGATGTTTTCTCATTTTCCCTATCTCTGGTGAGTGCATGTGCCCTATTGCAAATTTCTAAAAAATAGTAACAGTGCATCACATATTTTTTTAAATTTTATTTTTATCATTCTTATTTTTTTAAATATTTAATTGCTATACAGCACTTGGCTTGTAAAGATAATTTACCCAACATGAAATACATCTCAGACCAGTCCAGTTGAGAATACCATACACATTTTTGTCAACAGGTAATAAACCATTTCTATGTCCCACAAATGTCTTGCTTTATTTTTTCCCCCTAATTTGCTTCCCTATACTCTTCCTTTCTCCCACCCTCCTTCCACATTGTCTGCAGTGTCTATAACTATTTTCACTGCCTTTATGTCCTTCAATCTTTCAATCTATACCATGGAGTGTGTAAAGTTGGTATATGGTAATTGGAGACATACAGTATCTTTCTTTCATAGCCTGGCTTGCTTTACTCAGCAGTAAATCTTCCATATTTTTTATCAAATGCCAGGAGATCTTCTTTTTTTATTTTTTTAATGGCTTAATAGTATTCTATAGAGTATATGTACCACACTTTTCCAATCCATTCATCTGTTCATGGACATTTGGGTTGGTTCTGTGTTTTAGTGATCCCGAATAATGCTGCAATACACATTGATGTGTAAGTGTTTTTCTGACTGAGCATTCTCCTGACCTTTGGGTAGATACCCAGGAGTGGGATTGCCAGATCATATGGTAGTTCTATTTGTAGGTCTTTGAGGAATTTCCATATTGTTTTCCACACTGGCTGGACCAACAGTGTAGGAGAGTTCCCCTTTCACCACAACCCTGCCAACAATGATCATTTTTTGTATTTTTTTTTAGTGTTAATTAATTTATTTTTATATACATTCAATGACATTGTTTAGCTTATGAAATGAACATTTCAATATGTGAGCAATTCTCCCCAGTCCCATTGATCAAAATATCTTCAACAGATTACACCACACCTCCCCATCCCATAAATGCTCTGCCTTTGTATCCCTCCTCCAAATGTGCTTCCCTAGGCCTCACTCCTCCACACACACCACATCTGGCATTCACACCCATCTCTTGTTTGTTTATCTTGTAGTCAATCAGTTTTTGGTCATAGAGAGCAGATACTCGGTATATATTAAGTGGGGACATACAGTGTCTCTCCTTCATAGCCTGGCTTGCCTCACTCAGCAGTAAATCTTCCATATTCTTCCACTTTCTGTCAAAAGCCAGGGTTTTGTTGGTTTTTATGGCTGAATAGTATTCCATAGAGTATATGTTCCACAGTTTTTCAATCCACTCATCCATATAGGGGCACTTGGGTTGGTTCCATGTCTTAGCAATCGTGAATAGTGCTGCAATAAACATCAATGTGCAAGCACTTTTCCAATGAAGGATTCTTCTGTCCTTTGGGTAGATACCGAGGAGTGGGATTGCTGGATCATATGGTAGATCTATTTGTAGATTTTTGAGGAATCTCCAAATTGTCACCTTTTAAATGAACCTTTGAGTAGCCTGACTCCTAATAAATCTTTCAAGTTATTTATTATTTCTGTGGAATTGTAGAAAAGATTATTTCCCCCCACCCTCTGAATCTGTAAAGTACAATATATACACTGAAAGTATTGGGTTGTCAGGAAAGTCATGATGCATTTTTGTGTAGAAAAACATAGAGAAATATGTCATGTCATTCCTGACAACCTGTAAGATATGTGCTCATCGAGTTAGAGTCTGCTTTGAACAGACCAGAGTTGATATGACTCAGCCACTTACCAGCTGTGTGAACATATGGTAGTTAATTTCTCTGAATATCAGTTTTCTTCCTTACCAAGTGGAATGAGTTTGTGAACATTTACTGGGTGCCTGTGAGTACACTGCTGCTCCCTTCTATCCTGATGAATGTGACATCTCACAAGACCATTCTTTAGTAAATGCCATCGTTAGAAGATTTAAGATCTAAGGCAAGCTTTCAAGTTTCCTTTTATTAATACCTCAACTTTAAAAAAAATTTTAATTTTATTTATTATTATTCTTCAATTTGATGGAGGGACAGCGAGAAAAACAAGCCACCAGGTCTGAGACTTGAGCCAAGGTCAGCCATGTGGAAGTCCAGAACCTTAACCACCACACCACTTGCCAGTCCCAATGCCTCAACTTTTCTCTTAAGCAATCTTTGGCAAATAGAAAAAGAATGTTATATTTACTAGTAGAAAAATCAGTCATGCTTTTTTTTGTTTCTCTGCTCCTATATAAAAATTTTGGGTTACAAGTTAATTTATAGGTCTCATTTTTAAGAGCATCTTATGTCATGTCTTTTTTACAAAAGGACAGTCTTATTGACTGGATGTATCTCAATTCCCATGTCTAGAAAATGAAAGAATAAGCTGCCAACCCTGACTCACTTTTTGCTGACAGCAGATAAAGGCCAGATCATTTGAAATGTAGACTGACTTCATGGGCCTTACTGATAGGAGAAGAATGAAAATGAGACAACACGTTAGGGAATAAAGTTAAACGTGATTTAAAACTTCCTTTCTGTTAGATAATTCTACTTTTACACAACTGAGGAGAAATCACTATTAATTAGAAAATATTTTGTCCTAGAGTGGGAATTCATTCATAATTATTGCAGTGGTTGTGGTTTGTAGCAGTTTAGAAGGGAACGCCTTAATGAAATAAATTAATTTCAAGTTAAAACAGTGCTTTAGGTAGCTAAGCATGACTTGCTGTTTGTAGATACTGCTACTTAAGAATGGAAAATTAATTTCTTACACCTTTATGTAATTGCCTTCATGTAATATAACTGAAAGTAACCATTATAGTGAATTTAGATGATTCAGTATATGATATAATTGATACCTCAGTGAGCCTTTCAAAGATGCCCGTTGTAATTTGCACAAATATGTATACATACACATGTGCAGATGCATGGAGGAAGGTCTGGAAGATTATAAGCCTTTGTCATTATTTTATTATTATTTTTCTCTCTCTTTCTGTCTTTTTTTGAGTGCATGTGCCCTCTGGCAATAAAAAAATACAAATAAAAAGTAACTTCCCAAATATAAAAGTAAATTCTCAAAATCTCAATGTAAAAATTTTTCAGTATCTTTTTATTTCAACATACGTGTTGCTTATGTTTTTAGAGCTTGCCTTGGTGGACCCTGAGATGTGTGCATATTCACCAGCAGTTGCTTGAGGAGCGCTCACCTCAGCTCTGTGCTCTTGCTGAGAACTGCATTGCTGAAGGTATGTAGCAGGATCATGCTTGGTTTGGGCACATAGCTCTAATTTCTTGACTGAACATTCCTTTGTAGTTCATTCTTTGATCAGCAATAATGGCTTTCTGTTTGAAGTTCTTTCTTAATTTTTCTGGATGTAGAATGTCATAAATTATTATGGTGTCAGACCGTAGAATTCCTTTTGGTCTTTTGAGTTTTAAAAAAGGCAACCACTGGGGCCAGAAGGTGGTATAGTGGTTAAGGCACCAGACTCCCACATGGACAATTGTGATTCAAGTCCTGAACCTGGTGGCTTGAAAAATCACACCAGGTGTGTATGCATGCATGCCCCAAATCCCAGAAAGAAAACAGAACAGAAGGGATTGCTGTGTGGGTCACCCCCTGTGGAGGGTAATTTCTTACTTTCCCTCTTTCTGTCTTTCTCTGGCAAGAACATACACCCTATCGCAAAAACCTTAAAGAAAAAAAGCAATCACTTTGATTTATATTATCTGTCTAGAGTAATTAAAAAAATTTTTTTTATGTGAGAGAGTGCATGAACTCATGTGAGAGAGAAGAGAGAGAGAGAAAGAGAGACAGAACCTTGTCTCCCCTCCCCCTTTATGGTCTGGTCACACACAGTCCTCTGTGCTCCATTCCTGTCAGGATCTAGGACATGTGTACATATGTGCTTAGTATGTTTTTGCAAGCTACTGGGACTGAGATTCAAACTGCCCTCAACTATGTGGGATCCAGCTTCCTCTACATAGCATCTAACCGTTGTACTATGGGGTTTCAACCCAGAAAAAGTCAGTGTTGGTCATATGATTTTATCACAGATTGCTTAAAGGTATTTTAATATTTTTCTGTAGTCTGAGAAACCTTATTAGAAGCAAATGTAAACTCTTTTATTTTTTAAAGTTAATTAGCTTGAACTGCAATAAATTATGCTAAATTACACTAAAAATATTGAGTTGTTGGAAAAGTATAGAAAAATACAGAAAAATGCATCATGACTTTTCTGATGACCCAATAGGAAATTAGTTATCCTATATCCTGTTTGGTACATGAAGAAAGCTTTTATGTTTTTAACATTTGTAGGAAATACGTTTTAAGGACAACATTGATAAGGAGGCAGTTTTGCATTTTACTTTATTATTATTATTTCTGATAGATAATGTATCTACAAAGAAGTTCCTAAAACATGAGTGAAAAGTTTCTCAAATAATTATAGAACAAACACCAATGTAAATGACTCCTGCCTCTCTTGCTGCAAATACCCATCATGTTTCTTAGAGAAGCACTTTGAAAAAGAGGATTATCCTTTGTACCTTGATGTTTGGTTCCCAGTGTTTCTGGGCCTTGGGAATTATTTTTCTTGGCAAAAGTTGCCAAACAAAACAAAAACACATTATCTTATAGTGAAGGAATACTTGAACAGACATGAACTTGGACTTGGTACTGGACTTTGTATTGAGTTTCTGAGTTATAGAGATGGGATTTGACTGTGTCTGGTTCCAAAGCCCCATATTCCTTTCACATGCTGTGAGTATGGAGTGTATTTCGGTGTGTTTGTGTGTGTATCTGGGGGTAGCATCCTCTTGTGTGGAAGTAGCACATTCATAAAGGCATAAAATAGCTCTCATGTGTGTCCATATATAATAGTGAGTAGTCTGTACCTAAACACACCTTGGAGCTGTGTTTCCTCCTAGAGTTTTATCTGTGTGATAATGAGTTATGCCAAACTACAGTGAAAAGGACTGTAGATTGTATCACAATAAATATGCTAGGTGATTGGTTGAATTGATTTCTTAATTTTTATTTTACTCTAGGACAAAAATACCTAAACTTATGCTAATCTTAGAAAAAATGAAGATCCATGCATAGTTTAAAAAGAAAGTAAGGAAAATATTATTCACTTAGTGTGATAATTCTTTTGTGTTGTTTATACACTTAGGTACAGCATTTCAAAAGCTTTAGGTGTCTTAGACTACCTGAGCTTAAACATCTTATATATGCAAAAAATGTATTCTGCCATGAGACTTGGAATGGATGATTAATTGTTTTGTTAAATGTAAGGAGTTTACTTTTTTTTTTTTTAGAGGTTTTTGCCTGAGGGTGCATGTGTTCACTAGAGAGAGGGAAAGTGAGAAATCACCCCCCTGGTTGGGATGGCCATGCAGCAATCTCTTCTCCTCCCAGGATCTTGGGCATGCACGTACATGCACCGGTTGTGATTTTTGAAGTCACAAGGTCCAGGACTCAAACCGTAATCGGCCATGTGGGAGTCCAGCAATGCTATAGCTATGCCATCTGCTGGCCAGGAGTTACTTTTTAATACAATGATATTTCTATTTTTTTCCCCCAAGGATTATTTAATTTTGTTCATCATTATTATTTATTTTTATAGATTTAACCAGGAAAGGCAGTGGGGTAGGGGGAGCAAGAAAGCAAGCCACCAGGTCTGAGACTCAATCTGTGTTCGGTAATGTGGGAGTCTAGTGCCCTATCCATCCTGCTACCTGCCAGCTCCAATACAATGATATTTCTTAAGTAACAGAACTGGAAAACAATTTATCTTTTTCATCAAATAGTGCTATTGGATTACCTTTTTTTTTAGTTTTTTTTTGTTGTAGGAC